GTATCGCCTGCTGCTCCCCTCAGTAGTGTATTTCAGTCAGTCTGCCTGTTCTGCTCCCCACTCTGTCTCTGGTGAGTCCTCTCACCCCCTGCATCTCTGGCCTGTACCCTGGTTCTTGTATGCATAGATAAATAAATCTTAAAAAAAAAAGAAAGAAAGAGAAGCTAACTAGAGAAAGTTTGAAGGCTGAGGCAAATCTCTATGGACTATTGGGAGAATTTGGCTTTTTTCCAATTCTGGATTATCCTAAGAGTAGATAATCACAGAGATTTAGTTTGGAAAATCTCTTTCAAGTTCTTACTGATATTGTCAGTGTATTCTGTTTGCACATGTGCCTTGTTACAAACAAGATATTTGCCCAGTAGGACTTAGGATAGCTTTTGTGTCCAAATAATGATCTCCCTATCGGAGAAGGTGTGAACAGTAGATGTTTAGAATATGACTATTTTTGCTTGTTTTTATCTTTGTGTCACAGATAAGGACAAGTTACACAGTTGCTTCCCAGTATGGCATGGTAAGCTGAGCAGGCCCTAGGCCTTGAGAAGAAAGGAATTCTGTAGTAGCTTTGTGACTTCTGGAAAGTTGAAAATCACTACTTAATACAAATCAAGGCATTCATGTCCATTCTGAGAGAGAGTTGTGTGCATCCAGCAGGCTATCTCTCTATGCAAGGCCCCTACTCTTAGTTAGCATGAAGGATGGAGGGTTTAGAATATGCATGGCTAATGTGAGACTTTACTTTTCAAAAAGTCAGCAAGTATTTATTAGTTATTGATTATGTACTTAACTGTCTGGTTGTTACTCTGGAGATTTCTGTGAGGTAGTGGGAATAAGTCCAAGACTCAGGAAATTTATATTCTTGTTGGAAATACAGAAAATGTAAGAGCCTAAGAAAAAGAGAAATGACTTCAGGAAAATTTCACAATGGAGGTGAGGTTGGAGCAGGACCGAAGAAGGCAAGTGCAATTTGACAAGTAGGCACAAAGAGTCAGAGGAAGGAAGAGCAAATCAGATGGTGTTCAGATAGGGCCAGCATCCTAGGAAAAGATCTGGAAACTGGGCTAGGTGTGGTATGTAAGGAAGAGGAACTTTTCACCTTGATTAGATGTGTGGGATAGTTGGGCGATTGGTTGAATAGGTAATAAGAGCTGCATTACTGAGGACCCCGAGTGGTAGAAATGTATTGTAAACTCTTAAGTAATTAACTGTTTAGTTTTAGAAAGTTATTGTAAACTCTTGAGTATTTAATTGTTTATCAAACCATTTCTCTCAGTAATTTTTAAAGATTTATTTTTTATTTATACAATAGCTGGGGTACAGGCCAGAGGCGCAGGAGGGTAAGAGGATTCATCAGAGACAGAGTGGGGAGCAGAATAGGCAGATAGAAGGCACTGCTGAGGGGAGCAGCGGGTGCAACAGGAGAGGTCAGCCCGCCATGTGGGAATCTCCCTGGCTGGTGGGGAATTGAACCCGAGCTGCAGAGACTGCGGACAGCTTCACAGCGCTGCGTTCAACCTGCCGTGCCACTGGGGAGGCCCAATTTTTAAATTGAAATTTTTATTGCTATAATTATAGATTTATAGGCAGTTGTAAGAAATAATAGAGATCACCTGCATGCCATACTTAGTTTTTAATTGTGAAGTTTGTGGAGTCATTTTGAAAGTTGCGTAGATACATAAGATATTACACCTGCTTTTTCACAAGTATATAGGAAAAGCATACATATGTACTTCCTTTTTAGAAGATATATGTGTGTGTAAATATGTAGTGTATGACCAGGGTTGTTTAAGTCCCCCACATAGTGTATGACCAGGTTGTTTAAGAACTAGAGAAACAACAAACTACTTCTGGGAGGGGGTGAGGAAAGGCTTGTAGTCCTCGTGCTACATGAAAAGATTCAGCCCCTCATCTGTCCCCAAGGCCTGTGCCAGTTGTTAAGTGTATAATGATGAACACGATAGACAAGGTCCCTGGCCTCATGCAGTCTGAAATTGTGTGAAGGCAGATGAGTAATTATAATACAATTGAGTTGGGGTTATAATGGGAAATGGAGAATGCCATGGGAGAACAGAGCAGGGAGTGGTTCAGGCAATTCTAAGGAACATTACAGAATGGCCTGGCAGAGGAAGGATTTTTTTTTAAATTTTATTTTTATATTCCCCATACAATTGCAACCCCCTTATTTTGACCCCAGTCCCTCCTTTCCCTCCCCCCTCCCCCGCCATGTAGTGTGTTTCTGGTTCATAGTTGTTTGTTGATTTTAATTTTTTCTTTCTTATAGTTATTCTTTTTCCTTGTCCCTTATTTAGGTTTTCTAGATTCCTGCTATGAGTGAGACCATCCAGTATTTTTCTTTTTCTTTCTGGCTTATTTCACTGAGCATGATCCAGGAAGGATTATTTTAGCTGTGCTCTGAAGGGTGTTCCAGCAGAGAGAGGTGTGAAGGTGTGAAGTAAGATAACACACTTGAGGAAGTTATGGACTTTCCTTACAGCTGGTATTGAGAGGCATAATGGATGTGAGTGAGGGTCCCACAGTCTACCAGCCTAGATTTATATCCTGGCTTTACCACTTACTAGTTGCCCTTGTACAGTTACTTCTCTGTGTCTCGATTCCCCTGAAAATAGGCATAACAGAAATTCCAACTTTATAGATTAGGACTAAATTATTTAGGATAAACCACGCCCTTCGATTATTAGTTAGCACACAGCAGGTGCTCAATACTTGTTAGCTACACTGTGACTGCTGAGTACTGCTCTTAACTCTGAGAAGATGAATGGTAAGAAAATAGCTTAAAGGATCAAGAGGGACTTAAAACTGCATTAGGACTTTGGCCTTTATCCTCAGAGCAAGGGGAGGCCACTGTAGGGTTTTGAGTAGAGTCATTGCTTTAGAGTTGCATTTTTGAAAGCTTGTTCTGTTGGTATTTAGGTAGAGGGAGCCAAGAAAAGTGGCAGGGAGACCAACTAAGAGTCCAGATGAGAGATGGTAGTTTTGAGATAGTGGTTAGATCAAAATGACATTTGTTAATTAATATTTAATGCATGTGCCAGGTAGACTTCTAGACTGGCGATAGGTCTCTCATGGAGCTTATGTCTTAATGGTGGGAGGGAGGTCAGTGACAATGAACAAATATGTAACATAGTATGAGGAATGATAATTACTATTAAGAAAAATAGGTAAAAAGGATAAAGAGTCTAGGTTAATTTTAAAAGGGTGGTCAGGGAAACCTGTTTGAGATAGTTACTTTTTTTTTTTTAAAGATTTATTTATGCATACAAGAGCTGGGGTACAGGCCAGAGATGCGGGGGGTGAGAGGACTCACCAGAGACAGAGCGGGGAACAGAACAGTCAGACTGACTGAAATACACTGCTGAGGGGAGCAGCGGGTGAGGCAGTACAGGTCTGCTTCGCCATGTGGGTTTCTCCCTGGCTGGCCAGAGATCGAACTCATGCTGCAGAGGCTGCTTCATAGTGCGATGCTTAACCCCTTGCGCCACCAGGGAGGCCTGAAAGTTACATATATTTAAACAGAGACCTGAATGAAGTGAGAGTGAACCAAGCTTCCAGGCACAGGTAGGATCATGCTTAACATGTTCAAGGATGAGTAAGGATGGTGACAGGAGTGTGAGTGTGGAACGTATGCGGATTTTGTCCATCGTGTTAACCTAGAATTGCATTGAGCAGTGTCTGGCACATAGTGGGTGCTTGGTGAATACTTGTTGGATGGATAGGTGGGTAGGTAGATAGATGGAATTTTCAGTAAATGAATAAAAACTTGATTCATTTCTCAAACAAGTCTCGAAATCCAGGAGAGGGTGGGTGGAGCCCCCAACTTTCGCTAAGGTTAAGAGGTTAAGAAGATGGACTCAGAAGTTGGACTGTTAAATTCAGATCCTGGCTTTGCCATCTGCTAGATGTGTTAGCTTAGGCAAGTTATTTACCTTCTTGTTGCCTCAGTTTCTTCATCTGAAAAATAACAACAGCAGTACTACTTACCTCGTAGAATCATTGCATGGTCTTAGCACTGTTAACATGTTAGGTTGGATAGTTCATATTTGGGGCTCTCCTGTCTGTGTATTGTAGTGTGTTAGCATTATACCTGGCTACTAGGCCTACTAGATGCAGCCTGCAGTTGAAACAAGTAAAAATACCTCCATGTGTTGCCATATGACCTGCTGGGGGCAAAATTGCCCCCATTTGAGGACTTTTTTTGTGTGTGTGTGAGGATTAAAGTAGTTGATATGTGTACCTAGCATATGTATTGTTAAGGTCACCATAGTGGGCTTCTGAGGAAAAATAAGTGGGCAATTTAGACTCCTGTTTGTTATAGATAGTCCTCCCATTTGATTGGTTTAGTCTCCTATTTGATTAAGTAATAAAAACTTCAAAATAAAGTGCAAATTCTGATGGAGTATGAAAAAAAAATGGGTATGTCTATCCCCAGTAAGAGTATTTACACACACTGCCACTTGATGTGGCCAGAGTACCTTCCATTCATTACAGAATCTCTCGCCCTGCCTTTACATGCAAAGATGTCTCTCAATTTGGAAATTCCTTCAAGATGGAGGGATAGCACTAATAGGCTGCCTTTGCAGCACCTGGGATTTGGGGACACTTTTTTGTAATATAGGCAATAACAGTCCAGGCCTTACCAGCTCTAGGGACTAATTTCAGTGCAATCTCTTTTTGCTTCCCCTTGTCTAGAGTCAGGCACTGATGATTACATAATATTACTAAAGGTTCAGTCATCAGTGAGCATCTGGTTGAAAAATAGTAGACTAGATGCTGAGGGTATCCACATAGTAGAGCCCTGTTTTCATTTTGGGGCAAAATAGAGTCTGAAAAGCGATGTTAATCCTTTTCTTCAAAGAATTTAGCATTCAGTGGGAGAGAGATATAGCTATTATATTACAAAATAAGAGAAATTTTTATGCTGAAGGTATAGCAGGTGGAGTGATCAGTTGTTTTTCTTTTTTTTTTTTTTTTTGAGGTGAATTAGAGAAAATGTCTTCAAAGTTTTGAGCCAGGGTTTTAGATGATGGACATGAACAGGTGGCTGGACTGAGTTCCCTAAAAGATTAATGTACATAAGAGTCCATTTCAACTTGGAATGTTTCATAATTTTAAAGAGTAAAGTGTCCTTTGTCACACACCTTGATTCTCAGTTGAGGATTCTGTTTGATCAGACCCTTTTACTAGGGTCTCTTAAACCACTGTTTTGTTGTGCTTCACCTTGTTATTTTGATTGCTTGAATTTGGGGGGATGAAGTTTAAGATCTGGATTCAGGTAACCTTTGATTCTGTATTTCATTCATAAAAATATAAGTGTTAGAGGTATTGCTATGTCCAGATGCAGCATTTCTTGAGCTTTTCTGAGAATTTGAAACCTAAAGAATTTGAGAAATCTAGGTTAATTTTTTCAATTACAAAGCAACTTGGTGGCTAATTTTGAATTTTTATAATTTTCAGTTATAGAACAAAGTATTTCTTAAACTTTTACAGAGAAGACTCATCACCCCCAATGAACTTTGACTTTTTAAAAACATCAGCATTTACGTTTAAAGCTATGAAATTATTTTCATCTAAATTTAACTGAATTTTTTCAGTGGCCCCAGGCAGCCTTAGTTTGTGTTTTTTCAAAATACCCTGGGAAATGTTGATACCTTAGCAGTACAGTCTTGACAAAACATTTCCTTGTTGAGTAGTATCAGAATCTCAAGAAGGACACGCTACTGTTTTTGAAATTATGAAGCATTACAAATTGGATGTTTTTCTCTGAGTAGAATACCTTTGCAGGAGCTCAGTTAACTCCCTATCTTTTTCTTTTTTTTTAAGATTTATTTATTTATGCATACAAGAGCTGGGGTACAGGCCAGAGGTGTGGGAGGTGAGAGGATTCACCAGCTGGGGTACAGGCCAGAGGTGTGGGAGGTCAGAGGATTCACCAGAGACAGAGTGGGGAACAGAACAGGCAGACTGATGAAGTACACTGCTGAGGGGAGCAGCGGGAAGACAGGGGAAGTCTGCTGCGCCATGTGGGCAGCTCCCTGGCCGGGGATCGAACTCGTGCTGCAGAGGCTGCGGACAGCTTCATAGGTTGTGTCTTAACCCCTTGTGCCACCAGGGTGCCCCTTAATTCCCTATCTTAAAGGGCTACAACTTCTTCTAGATTCCTGTATTGCAGACACTTGGCAGTTAAAGGGCTCTCCTGTTTCACATTCCTCAGATTGGAGCGTGTACGCATTTATGTGAGTTAGAGGATTCATGTCTGTGAAGCAAAACATGTAACCCACATAAGTAAGTGGCTGCTGGGCATCCTGATTTCTAAGGAGAATATCGGGATTTGAAAAAGAATTTGCTTTTATTTCAGAGGAGATAAGAAAAGGGAATGAGACTCCTACTGGAGGAGTTCTAGTTGCTTTTGACTTTGAAAGATGCAAGAAATCAAAGACAGTGAGGTAATGAGAAAGAGCCAGCAGAAATGTATGCAGTTTGACATCATCTGATCATCTCCCACCCCCAACTCTGCTTTCTAATTTTGTTGGCCGTTCTCATGTGGGGAGCCTGGTTGGCTGGTGGTGTCTGGACTGCTGGAAAAGAGCAAATGGCATATGTAACAAGGCTGTCACAGTTATGCACAAATTAGTAGGTTTCTGGCATTGTTAGCTCAGCTTTCCTGCACCTAAAGGGACGAACCTTTCTCTAGTTTCTGGCTAATACACTGTGCATCTGGAGACCTTTCAGCAGAATGGAATGGAGGACTGTAAGGGCATGCAGAAGGTTCGGAAGCTTTACTACCTACTGGCTTCCCTGTGCATTGATGATAGCAGGGAGAGTGGAGAGAGAGCAAAAATGTGTCCTTCATGGTATTAGGTAGGAAAAAATACCCTAAGGTTCCCTGAAAGCATGAGATTATCTACAGTGAACTATCTTTGTACAGGAGGTCCTAACCACTAGTAAGAGAAAAGGATGTAGGGCCTCTCTGGTGGCGCAGCAGTTGAGCGCTGGGCTGCGAAGCTGCCCGCAGCCTCTGCAGCGCTGGTTCGATCCCCGGCCGCTGGCAAGGGTCCCACATGGTGCACAGACTTCTCCTACTGTGCCTGCTGCTCCCCTCAGCAGTGTATATTGTCAGTCTGTCTGTTCTGCTCCCTGCTCTGGCTCTGGTGAATTCTCTCACCCTCTTGCACTTCTGACTGTACCCAGTGCTTCTATAAATAAATAAATCTTAAAAAAAAAAAAGAGAGAGAGAGGAAGGGATGTAAAAGTATGACATTCTTGGGCCTCCCCTGGTGGCGCTGGTGGTTGAGCGCAGCTCTGTGAAGCTGTCCGCAGCCTCTGCAGCGTCGGTTCGATCCCGGCTGGCCGGCAAGGGTCCCACATGGCGGGGCAGACCTGTCCTGTCTCGCCCGCTGCTCCCCTCAGCAGTGTATTTTGTCAGTCTGCCTGTTCTGTTCCCTGCTCTGTCTCTGGTGAATCCTCTCACCCTCCCGCGCATCTGGTCTGTACCCCGGTTCTTGTATAAATAAATAAATAAATCTTTAAAAAAAAAAGGTATGACATTCTTAAAGATGTAGGCTTTTACTTCAGTGTAAAAAATTATAGCGTATACTTGAAAATTCTGTCCACGTTCCCCTCTGCTTCCTAAAGTCTTCTGTTAGCACTGCCTAGTTTCATTGTAAAGAGAAATTTATGGGGCCAAATCAGTTGGCCCTTAATGTCACAGAGGAAATATTTTCTTTTTGTGTTGTACATTCTGCCTTTAAAATCTTTAAATAGCCACTATTGTTTTTGAAGTCATTTGTAAGAAATAAATATTTTTAAAAGATAGTTAAAACATTTTTGAGGATGTGATTATAGGGAGGCAGGGTTTTTATGGTTTTGGTTTTTCTTGAGAAACATACTAATTGCTGTGTCTCTTTCCTCCTGGAAGAAGTGATTACTCAAAGGCACAACCAGTTAGGAAAATCTCTCATTTTGGTTTTCTGGTTTCAGAAGATTCTGCTTGCAGTAAAGGACCAGTCTGCCATGTGCTCTGGCATCTGTGCCCACATTGTGTGCAGGCCTCAGTGCCACGCCTGCTCTTCAGATGACTCGGTATCAGAGTCAGAACAAGGAATCCTGGGGAAGACTGACTGGCTCCCTATTTGCGGCGCAGTGGGGGATGGTTTTTATTTAATGTGCTAGGACACGTAATGATGTAGACAGGTACTCATGGTTTGAGACACCCTAAAGGAAAGCTAGTTCCAAGCATGATCTTTGCAGGCACACAGCTGTGAATTCATTGACTGTGGATTTAGTCATGTTCAACAGACCCTTTTTTCATATTGCTGCCCCTGTTTCCTACATTTTGTTTTTATCTGTGTAGGGAAGATCATGGGCTGGCCTAAAGGTGGAAAATGAAAAACAAGAGTAATAGAAGAAACCATTTGCTGTTTATCTGACATACTGATTATTGATTGATTGTCTCACTAAGTTCACCTTAAAGCCATATGAATTTAGTGATGTTATTCCCATTTTCAGGTGAGTTGAAAGCTCAGAGAGGTTAAATGACTTTGTCACCTACCCAGAGGTGTTAGGTGGTGAGAACAGGAATTGAACGAAAGTCTGGGTCTCTGATGCCAAGTGCAGTGTCCTCAGCCACTATATTACTTTGCCTCCATCCTGCTGCTGAGAAGTAGCTCCCAGCAGGTCTTGGGCAGAAGAAAAAGCGCTCCAGTTCTCTTGGTTGAGTTGGTTCTTTTGTTTACTGTCTGTGCTGCTTCTCCCTTCTCCCCCAGAACTTAGCCTGTGCATCACATACACTACTCAGTAAATATTTATTGAATAAACAAGTGTGTGCAATTAACCATGGAAACTGAAAGTGAACTGAGATTTTTGTAAAATTTGTGTAAGCATGCTGTATTTGTAAATATGTTAAAGTACATCTTAGACTAGACTAGTATTTTATCAGGTTTATTCCGACATTTGAATAAGAATAACATATTTAGGTGTTTGAATAAGAATAAAAGGTGCAATCCCATGGGATTTCTGGAGATCATCAATGGTCTGAACTCTCATTTCCCTCTGCCCAGCCATCCTCCCAGTGCTGGTCTTGTCCCTCTCCGTTTTCATACTGCCATCAAAGGGACCTTTCTGCTCTTCTGTATCCTCCGTCCTGCCAGTAAATTGTTATTTTCACACCTTTTGCTTTTGTACATTCCTCTCCTTTTGGTTGGAATGCCCTTCCTCATCCTTTTGGTTTGACTCCCTGCTCCACATCATTTCGGGCTGGGCTGGGCTGTCTTCTCTGAGTCCTCCAAACCCAGGTGGGCCCCCCCCTTCTGTGTTCTTGTCAAGCATTTATGGGAATGGATGGTGTAATTGGCTACAAGTCTGCCTCTGTTTCTTTGAGTGACGTGTATTACATACTCCTTGAGGTCAGGGACTTGGGGGTTTCATCTGTCTGTGTCACAGCCTGGCATGTGGAGAGCAGACAGTAATGTGAGAAGAAAACAAAATGAAACAAAATAAAGGGTATAGTTTGCCGAGTCCCACCATAAATCTTAGAGAACCATCCCATTTTAGAGATGGCGGACAACCTGTCTGCGCCAGCCCCCCCTTTTTACAGGGGAAGGTGCTGACTTCTTGAGGTCATGCAGCATAGCAGAATAGGCAGGACTCTTGTCTTCCAACCCAGTGTCCTTTCTTTCATTGCTTTTGAGGGGAATTTTTTTTTCCGCTTATTTTAAAGACAGGAGTTATTTAATGTAGAATATTTAGAAGGTAAACAGAAGACAAAAGCGTCTTCCTATTCCCACCTCCAGATCCAAATACTCTCCTCTCTGTTTAGAAGTGTGTGTGTCCTGTAGCATGTGGTGACAACAGCTTGCACTTTTGGATGCTTATGGAATAGGCCCTGCTTGAAGTACACTGACTTACTTCTCACAGCATCCCTATAAGGTGGATTCTGTTACCCCCACTTTAAAGAATGAAGAAATGGAGGTTTAGAGGCATCAAAAATATTTCAGGGTCACACAGCTAGTGAATGGTGGAGCCCAACATTTAAACCCAGGCAGTCTAGCTGTTACACACTTTGTCTCTATACATAATATTTCATAATCTACTTTTTTTTTTATTTATTTGTTTGTTTGTTTGTTTTGTTTATACATGCACTGGGTACAGTCAGAAGCACGGGAGGGTGAGAGAATTCACCAGAGCCAGAGCGGGGAGCAGAGCAGGCAGAAGGACCGAAGTACACTACTGAGGGGAGCCGCGGGCGGCAGGAGAGGTCTGCGCGCCATGTGGGACCCTCCTCTGGTGGCTGGGGAGCAGCCGGGGATCGAACTGGCGCCGCAAAGGCCACGGGCAGCTTCGCAACCCAGCGCTCAACCGCTGCGCCACCGGGGAG